CCTCTCTCTCTAGCCCTCCCTAACTCTCTCTGGATAGTCGGCATGATACTCTGTTTAAGAAAACCCGAAATGCACTTCAGCACAAGATTGCTAGAACTGATACATGAATTTAATAAAGCCTCAGGATACAAAATCAACATACAGAAATCTGTTGCATTTCGATGCGGCAATAGTGAAGCAGCAGAATGGGAAATTAAGGGATCCATCCCCTTGACAACCGCACTGAAAACAATCAGATACCTAGACACAAACCTAACCTGAGAGGTGAGACACCTGTAGTACTCTGAAAACTCTAAAACGCTGATGAAAGACATTGACGATGGCACAAAGAAATGCAAAGCCATTCCGTGCTCATGGATTGGAAGAAAAAATATTGATGAAATGTCGAACCTACCCAAAGCAATCTATACATTTAATGCAATCCCTAGCCAAATACTGCCAGCATTTGTCACAGAGCTAGAACAAACAGCGTAAAGCTGGTATGGAGCCACAAAAGACCCTGACTAGCCAAAGCGACCTTGAAAAAGCAAAGCAAAGCTGGAGGCATCACTGTTTTGGACGTGAGGTTGTATTACCCAGCTGTGGTGATCCAAACAGTATGGTACTGCCACCAAAATAGACACACAGATCGATGGAACAGAATAAAATGCCCACAAATGAACCCACAAGTATAGGGTCCATTCGTCTTGATAAAGCAGGAATCAATATCCAATAGGAATAAGACAGTCTCTTCAACAAATGGTGCCAGGAAAGCTGGACAACAGCATGCAGAAGAATGAAACGGGACTTTCTTACACCATACACAAAAATAAGATAAAAACAGAGAGGGCGGCAAACCCTAAGAGACTCTGAAATACAGAGAACAATCAGGGCTGCTGGAGGGGGTGGCTGGGTGGGAGGGTGGGAGGATGGGTTAAATGGGTGATGGGCATTAAGGAGGACACTTCTCAGGGTGAGCACTGGGCGTCAATGGGAGAGATGAATCACCGGGTTCTGCTCCTGAAGCCAAGACTATACTTTATGTTATCTAGCTTGTTTTCAATAGAATAAAAAATAAAACTAAAGTCAAAATGGATCCGAGGCCTAAACGTGAGACCCGAAACCATCAAAACCCTAGAGGAGAACACAGGCAGTAACCTCTTTGACAACTGCCATAGCAACTTCTTTCTTGATAGGTCTCCTGGGGCAAGGGAAACTAAAGCAAAAGTAAACTACTGGGACTTTATTAAAATAAAAACCATGATATTTTTTTTTATATTTATTTTATTATTATTATTTTTTTTTTTTACAAATTGCTTCCACTTACAGGAGGATTGGGAGAAA